CTCTATAATGTATTGCTGGGATTTGTATTCCTCTATAGCTGATGGTACATTGTGCTGTATATTATACCATCAGCTACAGAGGAATAAAAATCCCAGCAAAACATTATACACTGTATGTATAATGTTTTGCTGGGATTTGTTGTATTCCTCTAAAGCTGGTGGTATTGCGCTGTATAGAGGACTACAAATCAAGGAATAATACATTATACAGCGCAGCGAGGAATACCACCAGCTATAGAGGAGCACAACAAATCCCAGCAATACATTATACAGCGCAACGAGGAATACCACCAGCTATGGAGTACAACAAATCCCAGCAATAATACATTATACAGCGCAATGCGGAATATCGCCAGCTATAATGTACTATTGCTGGGATTTGTAGGCCTCTATAGCCGATGCCATTCTGCACTCATTGCTGTATAATTTTACACTTTCCATTTCACTATATTGCACCCCACACTTTTCTTTTTTTTTTCTTCCACCGTGCCAAGCTTGCTCCTGTGATGGACTACAATCTCGATACAAACTAGTAGTCCCATCACTGGAGCCATTTTTAAAAATGTATTTTATTTTTTAATCGAACTTTAATAATCGACCGATTTTGAAAATAATCATTAGCTGCAGCTCTAGACCCAGCCAGAACCACTCCATTTACCAGAAGTCAATTTTTCTATCGACTTTTGTTGAAGGAACTGGTCCGAAAAGTGTCTGCTACCAATCAGAAGCAGGCACTGTCCAAGTGAGGGGGCGGGGCTGAATGCACAAAATCGATTAGTGTATGGCAAGCATAAGGCAAGGGGTGTCCTTCAAATGGCAGATCCACCATCCCTATAATGGTTTTCTTTGCCTGATTACTATAAATAAAATTCTAGAATCTCTTTTATTGCTCCGAGTGATTTATGTTCTTTCTGATGAACCTGCAGAGCCGGTGAAACGCTGGTACTTCTGGCCCGTGATCATCCTTCTGACCATTGCATGTTTTGGTGGTATCATCTTTGCGTTGCCTCGTAAAGGTAAGAACCATAGTTCAGGGGTCAGTATCCTTGTATCTATAAAACTGAGTTACAATCTGATTGTACAATGTTGGTGCGATGTTCTGTATATAAACTATATCATGTTAGGGCCAGCCCAACCAATCCACCCCATTTTTGTTTAGTCGGGGCCCATGTACTACATACAGTATGCGTTGGTAAATCGTTACTTGTATGGTCAACCTAAAGTGAAACTTCACTAACTTTACAAGTCTAAATTTCTGATATGTCACAATATACACCTTTTTCAGAAAAAGCTCCGCCTTTTATCCTTAAATCTTCAGTCCAGTGACTTTGTCTAGGCTGAGATGTCATCAGTCTGCTGCAGGCAGGAAGAATCATTTCCTCAGTCTCCCAGTGATCAGCAACATTGTATCAAGTCACAAGGTGAGAGGCTGCAGCAGGGGCTGATCTATGTCAAACAATTGTCAACACAGCCAAGAACTGCACCGGGATTTACATGATTGCATCATCTCTGAGACGGCTCCTCACTGCAGGAAGTAGATTGTTACCCTGGATGATGGCTTTGCCCTTTGGAGAGAGAAGCAGATGAAAACCTTGTCAGGGGGAGTGCTGTGATCTCTGTGACTGGCATTGCATCCCTTGACTGTTTCTTGCGCATTACTTGTATGGGATTGTTAGAATTGCCAGTTGGGAGTCTTTCTGGCCAGTTGCACCTTAGCTAAAGAAATGGACACGGAATACTAAAGAGGTGGAACAGAATCTACTGTGTTTATAGGCTGCAAAGAAAAAAGAAAACCTGTCTGTTGCTAGTTTAGATAGCAGAGACAGACTACAAACTGACAACAAATGTTTGCAGACAGAAGTGTGTTAAGGCCGTACTAATTCCAGTGCTAAGCTTACCCTGCTCTACAAACCTCTCTGGGTGGTGTTGCCCTTTAACAATTCCCCTTTCCCTTAAAGCTGAACTCCAGGATGACCGTGAATTTCCAGTTGCAAACTTCTGCTCGTCACGTTCAACCAAATCGCCAAAAAATAGTATAAATCTTTTTATTAATGTCTGACAGCCTGGAGGAGGGGTCTTTGATGTGTCAGATGTCATCCACCCCCTTCCCCTGCGCCATATCCATACAGTGCTCACAGAACTACATTTCCCAAGATGCTTAGGAAATGAAGTCAGCTGTGGGTAGTTCTTGCTCCCATGTAGCCGCCCACATAGCCATGCAGTGCCGCCACATTTTACCTGCCAGGAACACAGACATTTGCATATGCTGCCTATCAAGAGGTAAGGATGTGCACGGTTGGGATAGACCGGGCAGCATTGCAAAACGCATGCACCATCGCAGGCACCTCTGACGTAAGCACATCAGCACTGCCAATTTCAAGGTGATTTATTTAGCCACTGCTGCTGTTATTATAACACAGTATTTATACTGTATATCACCAACAGTTTGCCCAGCGCTTTACAATATAAAGAAGACATCAGAGATACAATTCAAGACAAGATGGTTAGTAGGCCCTGCACATGAGAGCAGGGCCGTATCCATCGCGAGGCAAATGAGGCGTTTGCCTTGGGTGGCAAAAATGCCGCCCCAGAACAGTTAGGCAGCCAGGCGGAGGAGTCAAAGGACGGAAGCGGCGAGGAGGTGGTGTGGAGAGCCCACCACAGATCCTGCACAGCCCCGATGAGATCCTGCAGATTTTAGTGTGGGGGGTGCCCTAGTTTTGTCTTGCCTAGGGCAGCCCCAAACCAGAATATACCACTGCATGAGAGCTTACAATCTAAAGGGGAGGGGCATGTGATAGAAAAGGTGGTAGCCGTGTGGGTATGGATTGTTTTTAAGAAAGTTCAGCAGTTGGGTAAAGGCGGGATAGATTTCCCCTGAAGAGAGGAGTCTTTAGGGATCGCCTAAAGGCAGAGTAGGAGATAACCAGACAGGTTGGGGGTAGGGAGTTCCAAAGGATAGGAGAGACTCTAGAGAAGTCCTGGAGGTGAGCATGTTATTTAAATGATGGGTGAAGATTCGGTCTGATTTCGGGATTGCCTTTTTAAAAGATGCAATAAAAATTCTGACTGGAGTTCAGCTTTAAGTATGCTTTGCTCTATAAAGCGGGCGATACATCTGTCACATTCTCCTCTGATTTGTCTGTGGGTGTTCTGCAGATTGTGAGTCACCGCTCCTTGTGCTGATTCCAGCACTGTGGGTAGCGGGTGACTCAGAGTGCAGAGAGATAGAAGGAAACTTATCTTGTTCTAAGTAATGAGTATTCATGTGCCAGCCCCCCCCCCCTTCCTCCTTCCTTTTTTTTTTTTTCTTTCAGGTGGCAGCAAGCCAGGTAATTCGGGTGCAAATGTAGGACAGAATAAGTGTGATATTGCCAAAATACATTGCCGAACATTTAAAGTGTGTCAAACTAACTTTTTTTTCTTTTATTATTATTATTATTATTATTTTGTGTGGAAGGGTTATTTGGTGTCCAAATCCCAAGATATCACCAGCGCGCCATCTTCCGCTGAGAAGACGGACACTTTGTCACCAACCGGAAGCAATGTTTCCTGTTGGTGACAATAAAGGTGTCTTTTCATCTGAACGTGGAGTGCTGGTGATATAACGAATTGGGTCTTATGTTGTGGCGATGCCATCTACCATTTCACAATAGGACCCTTATATGATTGGGTCTGAGTGCTGTATGGAGTGCCCTGGCCTTTTTGGATTTATGAGTTGCTTTCTGAGTCCCTATGGGGAGATTCACCCTCTCTGCTTGTCCTAGTGACCAGAAAGTGATGGGAAGTCTAATGTTTTACAGTTGTCACCTGTACTGGTGTCCCTATTGGAGGATTTTCCATGACTTCCTCTCCAAGAGAGATTTCCTCTTACATCCTGGTGTGTATTCATTTTCCCCTCCATTCAAGACTAAAAGAGCTGATGGGGAACTAATCTTTTTCCCATCTATCTAACTAAAGTAAAGTGGTTCTAACTATGACTGGGCTTTAAAATCAGCTTCTATCAGGTAAGGTTGGTTATTTGCGATTGCAGAGTTAAAACAGGATGGGGTTATTGATTTCTGGTTCTGCTGTAGGCCTAAAATGTTTCCTTTTCTTACCAGCAATATTTAAAACCGAGAAAAAGTGATTACTTTAGCCTATATAATGCTGAGATCTGTGTTTGTAGTTTTCCTGTAAAGGATATTCCTGGATGTCTAGTTTCTTTTGGGTACACTGTATGCTCAAGTGTATGTGGGCAATGCTCTAAATTAAGTTCAGGTGGACAAAGCCAACTTCACAAAGACATGGTTTGACCAGTCTCGTATGGAGGAATTTACCAAAAGAAACCCCTTTTTGTAAAGAACAAACACAGTTAAAGGAGCCACAGTTACAGACCAGCGTAACCTATATGAAATATATCAAACGATTCCTTAATTCCACAATCAAATAAACTTGTTTAAACCCTGCACCGCACTCAGATACTTTAGATTAAAAACATGCTGACAACTTTGTCAACCTTACACTATGGCTTTGAGTCACTGACCGGCGTATGACACCTAAATTACTATTAAGAGGAACAAAACTCCAGGTCTTCTCTCTTTTATGCCTTATTGGTGTGGAGGAACTTAAGTGTCCTGCACAGAGCCCTGACCTCAACCCTACTGAACACCTTCTGGGCTGAATTGAAATGTTGATTGTGAGCCAGGCCTATTCCTCCAACATCAGTACCTGACCTCACAAATTCCCACAGACACTCCAACGTCTTGTGTACAGACTTCCCAGAAGAGTGGAGGCTGTTATAGCCCCAAAGGAGATCCAACTCTATATTAGGGTTCATGGTTTTGGAATGGAAAGTCAAACAATCTCATAGGAGGTGTAATCGTGATGCGTCCGCATACTTTTAGCCATATAATTTCAATCTACATTGGCAGTATTTTAGATAGGTCTATCTTCTATTCTTCCACATTGCTGATTCTTTTTTTCTCCTCCACAGAGAAAGACATACCACCTCCTTCTCCTCTTCCTCCACCTCCACCTCCAGTTAGCAGGAAGGTGTGGTTGGTGTACTCCGAAGATAACAAACAGTACATGAATGTGGTAATCAGGTTGACCGATTTTATGCGGCTGGCATGGGGCTTGGATGTAGTGCTGGACCGCCTTCATGTTCAAGAAATGGGCACGATTGGTCCCATGGCTTGGCTGGGCCGTCAAAAGAACGAAATCGAAAAAGCAGAAGGGACGATTCTGATACTTTGTTCCAGAGGGGTGCAAGAGAAGTGGAAGGCGATGCAAAATGTTAAGGAGCAGAAGATGAATTCGAGGGAGGACCGAGAACACTTAATAGAGGACCTCTGCACCCCTGCCTTATCACTCATTCTCCCAGACTTCCAGCATGCAAAGCCCTACAATCGCTATGTGGTAGCATATTTCAGCAGCATCTCCACACCTGCAGACATACCCTCACTGCTGGAAATCTGTCCAAAATATTCATTGACTGAAAACCTGCAAGATCTTTTCTTCCGGATCCAGAGACAAGAACAGCACCAACCACGCTTGCAGCTAACTGTCAGCTATGATGAGCATCCAAGCTACCGGCGTTTAGTAAAAACAATTGAGAGGTGCAGGAAATGGCAGGAACAGAACTTAGGTTGGTTTGAGAAAGAGTGTTTGGTCATACCAGTTGAGGACCTGGGAGACACAGAGGAGGAAGAGGATGTGGATGATAATGCAACCCGCAAAGTCTATCCAGTACCTTATTGTCCTCAAACTTCAGTCTCTGTGGTGCATCCATTTATCATGGAGCCAGATCTAGCCAAGGTTTTAGATCCTACAATTGTGATTGGAACTCCAAGCACCCTAGTTGAACCTTTCCTGTCTCATGTAGATCCTTCAGTATTAATTGTACAACCATTACATCAAGACGTAATATCCGAGGCAGTGTGCATACAAGAACCATGGGTGGTGGGAGAAGATTCATCACTTGAAGGACTCAATAGATATCCATTGAGACAAGAAGTTTCCATCCAATCTGACCAAGCTGCCCTCTCTATAGAGCAGCTCATGGAAGCCCAAAAAAGATTTTTCCAGAATTCCATGGAGATTACAGATTTGTCCTCTGACATGGAATTTATGGATGCTCCAGGTCAAGATTTGCTTGTCCCCATCATGGGTCAGCCAGTAGGAGTTGGTGAGCAGCTCCATGAGATCTTTCTTGATGAACAGTTAATGCCTCCTGCAGTGCACCCTGGTACAGGTCTGCTTGATATGCATTCCATACAGCTTACAGATCAGGGATACAGCAGCTGGAACCCACACGAGATGGGCTTAAAAGCAATACAGAGAGAGTCATTGAAATTTCTCCTGCAAAATGAACAAGTATGAAAAAGGCTTGGGTAGCCTACCTTTCTACCAGACCAGTACTCAGCCAGTCAGTTCCCAGGAGCCAATGACACCAATTGATGCAATTTTGCCAGTTCCTGGATAGTGCAGATGTCATCACCTTAAAGGGGACTTCTGTTGTTTTCAAACATTCGAAAAGTGCCTAAATTAACTCTCTTTTGTACTGTGTGTACCCGTGTACGTATAGTACTATCGAAACTATACTTGTATGTAAGAGGACTTCCAGTACCTTTTTGTATTTTGTCCACTCTTGGAGCCTTAGCCCACCTTTGTCCGGTTGGTTCTGTTCCATGCAGTCTTCTCTGTCTGGTAGCACATGATGGTCTGAAGCTGTAAAAGTTGGTCCTGGCCGGTGCTTTTTTATTTTAAACTGCTTTCTGAGAGGTCACATTTCAGATAGCATGAAAAGGTTGGCAATTGTGCAAGTCAATGGAGAGGGCTTAGGTGCAGAGGGAAGGAAGTTCCGGCACAAAGCTGCTTCATGTCATACCTAGGTGAAGGAACTCTTTGAGGCCTTGTTCACACCAAGCGTGTTCCAGGAGCAGAGCAGTTGCAGACCTAGGGTTGCCACGTTATATAGGGGGATAACAATCCCCCTATATAATAGCAAAGGCACACTGACAGGTCCTCTTTATGGAGACATTAGGGGTCTCTAGGACCCCTAATATCACCTGTGGACCCCAAAAGAAGCTGATGAAGCAGAGATCTGGAATTTGGCCGTGCGTGCCCGCTAGGGGGCGCGCGCGAGCAGAAAAAAATTGCAGTCTGGAGACGGCAACCCGCAAATGCAGCAGTGCCGTCCGTCCGTTTTTTTACTACGGGCGGACGGCAAGAGGTTAAGATAGGGGCTACTGGCCCCCCACTGAAAACAGTCTCAACTGTGATATTTACATATGAATGGGCGGCGCTATTTACATATGAATAAGCCGCAACTCATTCTTCCCAAAAAATGTCTGCGTGTCGCTAGAGTGTTCGAGTTTCGCTTGAAGAAAAGGTGGCAACCCTATGCAGACCGGATCAAAACCGTCCAATGTATTCCAATGGAATTTTGGGCTCTAGTTCACATCGCAGCGTTCAATTCCAGAGCATGTAAAAAAACTGCCGCAAGCCCTATTTTACCTGCTCTGGAACGCATGCAAACGCATGAAAAATGCAAATTCCCTGGAACGCACTGAAAGCCCATTTTTAAACAAAAAATAATACATTTTTAACCAAAAACGGCCCGGAACGCATAAAAAAAACGCGGCACAACCCACTGCACTGTGTGTGCAGAAACTCATGCAGATCAGGTCTGCATTTGGTGTAACAAACCCTTAGGGAGAGAGATTACATGAACCTGCAGGAACATTCATTCATAACTAGCAAGGGGACGAAGGCGAATCTAGATAAATCTATGTATAAGGTAGGAACCCCTTTAAAGACCCAGGTCGCAGATGTACTGCCTTAAATTTATGCAGGCCCCACCCTTTAGGTCTCCAGGGGGAAATGTACACGCCTAAAAAATAAAAATGAGAATATACTGAATCATATACATAAGCAGATGCTTCCTTGAATTCTTTCTTTTGATATACTTCCCTGCACACCAAGGAAAGGCCAAAAATAGGGTTACAGGACAAGCAGATCCCTCTTGACAAAGAAAGTTTGCCTTCCATCATAGACTGGGCAGTATGTACACCGTGCACTACCTTAGGTGTACAGGAATGGCGGTGCCTTCTCCAAGCTGCCCACTTTTTGCAACTAACCTTGTTCCTCATAAACTGTTTCCAAAATCACAACTAGAACTTGCAATTAAGGGACCATCTGCTTGGGATGCAGAGCTGCCATTAGGCTGTACAATCCACCAGTGAAGGGTTGGAAGGGGAGGTGGCTGCAGAGAATCTTGTGCTTCCTGCCCCCATGCTCTCTTCAGTTCTACTGCTGGAGGAAGTGAACAGACGAGGACATTCTGAAAAGGAAAACTAGCTTCATGTTGTAAATATTGTACTTTACTGCTGTCCCGTTACCTTTTTATTATTGTTTACTGGAGTCTATGTAGATTTTTTCACAGTATATATGATTCCAATCAGTCTCGGTCCATGAAGGAGCTTACACTCTAATAACCTCACCACACTCATCCAGGGGTGCTCAGTCTTTGGGGCCAGTTTGGTCAGATACTTATTAACCTACCGGTATGTCTCTGCATTGTGGAAGGAGACTGGAGCACCCAGAGGAAGGCCACACCAACACAGGGTGAATGTGCCATATATGTAAAGGCTATGCGTCTGCTACTTATCCCTCTTGGTGCCATTGCCCTGCCCTTAACCGATATGCATAGTTTTACAAAAATACACCTTGTCCCACCCCTTCTCTTGCCACCTTCCCCTTGTCCAAATGCCAGCACTTGTAAGTAATACTCAAGCCCAGTAGTAAAAACGGGAAACGGGCAAATATCCGGTCTGTGGGCATATTTTACAATTCATGATCTGATTGTACAATCTCCTAAAATCTAATTGATTATAGATTGAATGTACTATTCATGGTCCTCGTGTTCCATAGGTTTGGTAGGGCAATAGGAGATGATACAATCGCATGTGGTCAGGTTAGCTGCACCTACCCTTCAGGTTTGATTACCATATAATCATTTTTAATCTGACTTTCTCTTTTTTTGAATGTGATTTGGTTAAGTGCAATCAACGACAGCAACTGCACCTTGCTTGCGAATCGTTTCTCTCGGTAGTCACTTTAGCCTCAGAAATAGTTTCTTTTGTATACAAAACAAAATGTATTTTTGAGAGTAAATCTCATTTGTAACGTTATTGCTTGATAGCACTTGTGTAAAATGTGATGTATGTATTTTATGACAGTGATGTATAACCGTATTATGTTGTGTTTTAAAAAAACCTTTTGCAAAGTGAACACAAGCTGCCTTGTCTCCATTTCTTCCATCATTGCGCCTAAACCGTCTGGGATGTCTATAAAAAAAATATTTAAAGGTTATTGAAGTTGAACTCCAGGCAAATAGCCGAACACACAGCTAAAGCACATTTCGTGGAGATGTTTTACCACCCGAAGGGTTTGTATTTCTCTCCAACCAGTTCTTAGATTTACTCAGCACAACTCTGTCTGGCAAGGAGAGGGGACCTGATCTTTCTCCACTGTAGATTTTGCAGGCTTATCCTTCCATGCTCCTCCCCAAAGCGGTTTGTTTGGCTTCAGATTTGGCCTTCGGACTTCTGTTGATGGGCAAATGCAGTGTACTCTCAAGTGCATTCTGCTTTCCTTTAAAATAAGTTCAAAACCCTTCGGAGATCATTCACAGTTCATTGACAGGAGTATTGGACCGGCAGTTGACCTCCTAAGCTGCATCCACCTGCTTCAAGCTGCTTTTTCATTCCCTCTGACTTTTCTTGGTAAGAGAAGCAGATCTGATGTGATCAAAAGCCCATAAACACAAGCCCGCACTCTGTAAGACGGAACAAGGACCCACAACAGTCAGTTGGGTTCCATCTTGGTCTGATTTCAATATTGTGAATTCCAATTGGTCACCATCAGTTAAGTCACTCAAAACCTCCATAATTTTTGGATAAGCTTAACCAGGCACACTACTTTTTTGTCTCAGAAAAGCAACTGATTAGAAAACACATTTCAAGAATATTGATGTTGGCTAATCTTGGTTGGTTGCCACACAAAGGAAGCCATTTTGAAGACCAGGACAATCTTAGCGGGCTCATTGGTGGCCACTTCTACACCAATCTCCAGACCATAATCAAGACTCATAACACGGTCTGCGAGCTTGACACCATTTAATCACCGTTCACAAGATACAGGCACTGGTCACGCACATGTGAGGTAAAAGTTGCATTGGTAAAGAGATTTTCGGTTTGATTTCGTTCACTTGGTGACCCCTAAACATTTCATCAAGCCATCGCTAAACCTCTTCCTTCTTCTAAGACCTGGAGATCTTGAGCAGTCTAGATTGCTGATAGAAACCAACCTGCTACATCTCATCACCCCAGAATGCACTGGGAGAATTTGTTTGGCTGCTACGGGCAATGTAGGTTGCCTGACATAGTTCTTCTCTCCAAAATCTGATAAACAAGGCCTGATGTCTCTTAAGTATAATCACTTACACCAACCCAACATGGCTGCCATACCAAGACTGTACCTCTAGTGCAGGGGTACTCAACCTCAGCACTCCAGCTGTGGTGGAACTACAAGTCCCATGAAACATTGTAAGGCTGACAGCCACAGGCATGACTCCCAGAGGCACATGGTTGAGGGAATATGTAGTTTCACCACAGCTGGAGTGCAGTGGTTGCCTACCCCCCTGCTCTAGTGATTTGTCAGTCGCTTTATTACTTCTTTACATTTTCCAGTTAAAATAATTTCTTTCTGTGACCGAATCAAACCGACGTCATCTTTGCACACAAAAAGATACATTTTCCACTCTAATGTAACAAGCACTAATAAATTCTTCAAAAATACAATTTTTTTTCTCTTAATTTTTGGAACCCATCGCATGCATTGTTCAGAGTCCATGACACGGTGACAGCCCCAAAAATGCTGGCAATTCTTTTTTTTTCTTCCAAGCGGCCCTTTTGCATCACTGGCAGTCGACCTTGTGCATTGCTGAGCAGGAAAGTCCTAAAGGACAGCCCTTGGGTGGTGGGAACTGGATATGACCTGGGACTCCTGAGTGCCTTGTTGCATTGACAATCGGGAAAAAAAAAACACAGTTCATTAGACCAGCCCTTGATTAGGGGTCGCCTTCGAAGGCAATGTTTTTGTGGGATAGTTTTGCGATGTCACAACTGAGCTGTTAACCTTGACGTCTTGGGTTACATTATGACGTAATGTGGAAGTGACGAGAGCCCAGAGTGACATTGTCATAGAACAAGGCAGCTAGTTTTGATGTTAAGCACCTTTACGTGTACACAAAACCAAACCGGTCCTGAATGTTGGGATTTACAAAATGGGCAAGACACCAGGAAAAAAATAAATTTTTAAGAAAAAAGTTTTTGAAGTACAGATCATTTCTGGAAATGGAGAGAGGAAGATACCATAATAGTTCATTACGTCTTCTGAAGGTTCACACCTAGATCAGCATGCATGTTCAGTTCAACTTCACAACCCGGAGCACGGGGACACAGGGGCATGGCCTCACCCAAAGAACTGTTGTGTTATTAAGGCCCTTCGAGCAACAATAAAGGTTTGCATATTGGAATTTTCATACACACTTAAATTAATAATGTATTTTGTTTTAACACTGGTGCCCCCCCCCCCTCCAACAAATAATATCTCTGAAATAAAACTACCAGCGATTTAAACACCCATATACAATAATTTCCCAACACAATGGGTGGCATAATACAATGCTGATAGAAATAGAAATTCAGATATTTATGAAAGAGGAAAACTTTTAAAAAGTTACTGGATTTAAAAAAAATTGTTTGTGTCTTCAGTAGTTTACGGCAGAGATAGAGGACTTACAAATGTAGGATTGACTTCACTGACTTGCCTGAGGCTGAGTCCAGGACTGAAATTTAAACACGACTTAAAAGATCCCCCTTCTTCGTATACGTAGAAAACACGGAGAATTGGCTGAGACGGTGGTGGCGATAGCTGTGTCTTTTCTGTAAGGCAAACTGAACTCCAGGCAAATGCTTAATGCTCTTTTGAAATACATATAAGTAAAATGTCTTAGGGATGCCACACAACACAGCCAGGAAGGTGACCGCACTCTTCCTGTTTAGAGATAAGGGAACAGAGTGGTGTCACTTCCTTCCCTGTCCCCTACACTGGCTGATTGGACAATGAAGGAGCAGCATCTCCGCTGGTTTGTGCATGCAGCAGACTTACATACATAGCAGAGATACATTTCATTATTTTAAAGAAATATACTTTAATATTAAACATTATTTTTTAGCTTGGAGTCCAGCTTTCAAGTGTATATCCAGCCAAAACCTTTTTCAAGTTTTGGACAGAGGGAGGAAGAATTAGATCCTCAGGTTTCTATTTCTAGTTAGGGGTTCCCTTAGAGTAGTTAAACTTCATCCCTCCAGCAGTGGTGAAACTACAAATCCCATAAGGCATTGCAAGATTCCGACAGCCACAGGCATGACTTCCAGAGGCAGATGCATGATGGAATTTGCAATTCCAACACAGCTGGAGGGCCGAAGTTTAGCTACCTCCTGCCTAAGAGAGACTTGCCCTTTACTTCCTGTCCTGCTGACAATGTTTTACCAGACAGGAAGTGAGGTGAATTCTCCAACAGCAACACAGACAGAAATAAAAATGCTTTTTTTTTTTTAGTAGAGAAGGCTAAAACAGCTGTTAGATTTTTTTATTTCTGTCTGTCCCTGTTGCACATTTTCCATAATTCCTGTTGGGTGAAGCCATTGCCAACAGAACAGAACGTCATTATTAATCTCTTTAATGGAGCTCTGGGTAGCAGTAGAAACCTGACAGATGTTCTGACCTTTTCCCACTCTATGGAAAACTAGGAAAAAAATTTCTGGCATGACACACTTTAACCATTGTCTGCAAATAAACTGTATTCACATTACTGGTAGGATTCCAATTACTCAAAGATGAATAGAAACTAGTAGTAGCTGGTCCCATTCAACTGGATCTGCTCATGATGTGGAACACATTTCTCTACTCATCTTCGAAGCTGAGGAAACCTACACGGATAAGCTGCAAAATGTCTTCAACGTTACAGAACAAGTCCAGTTTAATGAGAACCTTCACAAAGATGCTGCGATATAATTCCCAACAGGTGAAGACCACCGGAGTTCTCCATTATCGTTACCAAAATATACAACCCCAAAAACTAATTTTGATTTGGCAGTGCCTAATAAAGGAGGTCTTGTGTATTGATTGTCTTGTTTTTGATACCACCTGCAAACATCAACCACGTACACGGTCAACAAATCCTAAAACTCTATCATCTTGAAGTCAGTTATTTGCAGGAGAGAAGAACTTCAGGTAAACGCACCACCGACAGAACAATCTATTTTCAGGGTTAGATCTTTGAGTGTATCAACACTGGATTCAAAAATATTTTTTTGACACCTGATATTCTCTTCTAATAAAAAAATACCGAAAGGTAACCTGCAGATTTACGTTTTGAGACTTGTTGATGTTTTCTTGGCAGTGTTGGCCATTGGAATACAGTAAAGGAAATAAAAACGGTTCATTGCTGGGGGGCCCGTGTTCTGTTCCAGTTCAGTTCTGTGATGTCACAGCCAATGTGTTGACGTAAGCATGAGGCCCCATATCGTTTTCAGAGACGCAGTGGCTGAACTGTCCTGGTGGTCGGTCTGTAAGGTCAGGTTCTGGTGTTCTGAGTAGGCAGCAGAGCTCCAAGACTTCCAGCCAGCGGCAGACCAAGAAAAAGACATTCTTCAGCATGAAGACAGAAAAGGGTCGGTTGGCTGAGCCTAGCATCAAGAAACATCGGATGGCCAAGAGAGGGCCATCTACCAAAGTGCCACAGAGAAGGCGAAGGAAGAGTCGACAGCAGCCAGCGGGGGTTCCTGAGTCCAACTCAGACAACCACAGGACTGGTGAAGCCAACGCCACAAAGTATACAGCCAGTAAGGCGTATCGGATAAAAGGCATGAAGGGTAGCTTGCCTTCCAGCATGGGTTCCAAGAGGGCATAGCTATCCAGCAGGTCTAAACAGGAAGCCATGAGGTAGCCCAAAGCTCTCTGGTGCTGCCATCCCCGTGGATCCACACTCAATGAACGGACTAAGGCCCAAAGCAGAGGGACTGAGAGAGAGACTGTGAGTCGAAATCCGGTGCTTCCCAGAGGTACCCCGGCCTCGATCTGATCCACTATTGGGGTGCAAACTATCAAGACCACTTTGGGTGTGAAGGCAATGGCGTAGATGAGCCATGCCAGGTGGCTATAGGCAAACTGTCCCTTCTTCGGCCTTTGGACTTGACCATAGCCGGAGGAGCTGAGCGAGCCCTGGAATGCTCTTTGGCCTCTGCTGTTTTTGGAGTAGAATATCCCCCATCCAGCTACCACCACCAGGTCGGTGGCAATCCAGGAGCACCAGTACAAGTCCGTGCCAGCGATCAGGTAGAGGTCCAGTAGGGCACCCTGTGCCAGCAGCAGGAGCACAGATAGTGTCTTGTAGCAGCCACGGACAGCACAGCCAGGGCCCCCTCGAGGCAGCCTCCCCGGGCCCCCATGTGCAAACTCTCCGGCCGTCATCCCCAGAGTGGAAGAGGTGGAGGATGAGTCCAAAGAGGGGGGGCACGAGGGGGCCACGGGGAGGGGGGAGAGTGGTGGGGGCAGGGTGTCGGAGGATAGAGCTGAATCAGGAGGAAATAGGGGGCACTACAATGGAGTGCCACCGGAGCATGGGAATAGGGGGGATGACCCAACCCTTAAACGTTGTTTACACTCAAGGGTCAGACATGATGACAATAACCTAAAATATACTGCAGCTACAGGGGGGGGGGACAGAAGCAATACAGGATAGTGTAAAGTGGCCGGTGAAAAGAGTATACAAGCTATTGGTGAGGGATAGTTAGAACAAGCAATGTAATTTATAATGTTACAAAATGGTAAAATCTATAGGGCACTTAGTGCAGAGGCCCCCCTATATGAGTACAGTAGAAGCACAGTGACAGCTATATGAAGCACATATGAATGCTGAGTGCAGCGTATAGTGACGGTCAGGACACTGGCAATGTAAACTATGGATGCCTATTTATCCTAAGCAATGAAGTACATTATGGAACAGCAGACATTGGAGCAGGACATGGCACAAACAGTGACAGGTGTAGAGGGTATAGAATCTATAGGGGGTGTAACAGCATGTTATCAGGGGCTATGACCTATAGTTTTACAGGGGCTATAGAATCTATAGCACATATGACTGAGTATAGGGGCACAGGATGTATATGACCTTTAGGTGATGGGACAGCACAGCATGGTGATGTGTGCTTAGGGTATAGGGAGTATGACAGGGTATAGATGTACAGGGGATACAAGATCTAGAGAAGGTGAGACAGCACAGTGATCTATACAGGGGTATAGTATTTATAGGGGGTGTAACCGGCTATAGTGGTGAGAGGGTTATATAAGATTTATAGGAGGTGTTGTAAGCAGGGTGAGAAGTGGATGGGGTATAAAATCTATAGGAGGTGTGACAGCATGGTGCAAAATACAGGTAAATGTGATCTATAGGATGTAAAGGAATATTGGTGCTGGGGGTATAAGATGTATAGTGTGTATGACTGCAGAACTATAGGTGGAGGGGGAATATGATCTCTAACGGGTATGACTGCAGAACTATAGGTGCAGGGGGTATATGATCTATAGGGGTATTACTACAGGACTATAGGTGCACGGGGTATAGGATCTATAGAAGGTGTGACAGCAGGGTGATAGGTGCAGTGGGTATAGTATTTATAGGGTGTAACAGCAGGATTATAGGTGCAGGGGGTATATTTTCTATATGAGGTGTAACAGCAGGGTGATAGGTGGAGGGGCAATATGTTTTATAGGAGCTGTGACTGACTATACTGGTACAGGGGGTACATGATCTATAGGATGTGTGACTGTTGGATGATAGGTAGAGGGGCAATATGATCTATAGGGGGTGTGACTGGCTAACCTGGGAGGGGATATAGGATCTATAGGGGGTGCTGTAAGCAGGGTGACAGGTGCAGGGGGTATATAACCTATAGGAGGAATGGCAGTGAGTCCATCAGCAGGACAGCGCTAGGGGGTAGTAAGCACAGCACCCCTCCCGCAGCGGAGGAGCCTGGATTGGGGTGTACAGGGGGCTGCACTGACCTGGGGGTGCAGTATTGAAGGAGGGAGTGACACCCGGGGAGGCTGCTGGCTGCTGTGCAGGGAGGCAGATGTGACATCCCGGGCTGGGAGGCTCTCGGCTGGCGGCAGATGCAGGTTCTGGGGGCTCCTGGAGGTGTCAGGGGCCCCGAATCTCTCCGCGATCAGGATGATGATGGTGATGATGATGATGAGCAATACCGAACCTCCGCAGGAGAGAGACAGAGAGAGCGGCGACCCCTGCTGGAGGAGAGGAGAACTGCAGAGGAGGAGCACTGCCCAGCTGGGGGGGGGCTACACAGTGTACCATCAACACATATATCACACTGGGGGAGCTGTACAATATATTATATATTATATACATCATACTGGGGGAGCTGTACAATATATTATATACATTATACTGGGGGGCTGTAGTCTATATTATATATACTGTACATAATACTGGGGGGAGCTGTACTCTATATTCTATATCATACTGGGAGAGCTGTAATCTACATTGTATATTATATACATCATGCTGGGGGAGCTGTAATCTATATTCTATATCATACTGGGGGAGCTGTACTCTATATTCTATATCATACTGGGGGAGCTGTAATCTACATTGTATATTATATACATCTTGCTGGGGGAGCTGTAATCTATATTCTATATCATACTGGGGGAGCTGTACTCTATATTATATAATATATACATCATACTGGGGGAAGCTGTACTCTATATTATATATCATACTGGGGGAGTTGTACTCTATATTATATATATTCTATATTATACTGGGAAAGCTGTACTCTATATTCTATATCATACTGGGGGAGCTGTACTGTATATTGTAAATTATGTACACCATACTGGAGCCCCGGGGAAAACGAGACGGCGTCAGGAACAGGCTGAGAGCCCATGCACACCGCACACCTCTGCCAAGCATCCTGCTTGCCAACATCTAGTCGCTGGAAAACAAGCTCGATGACCTCAGGGCCAGGGTAAAGCTCCAGAGAGACATTCGGGACTGCAATCTCCTCCTTCACCGAGACATGGCTGAACCCAGCGGTACCGGACCACGCCATCCAGCCCGCCGAGTTCTTCTCGGTTCACCGCATGGACAGAACATTAGAATCGGGGAAGTCAAGGGGAGGCGGCGTGTGTTTAATGGTGAACAGTAACTGGTGCAACAGCGCGAGTGTTATTCCTCTCACACGCTCCTGCACACCCAACCTGGAACTACTAGCTATCAAATGTCGTCCTTTCTACCTTCCTCGGGAGTTTACATCGGTCATAGTCAGCGCCGTTTATATTCCACCCCAGCAGACACGAACACTGCTTTATGCAAGCTGCATGAGGCACTCACACAGCACCAGACACAACACCGGGACGCTTATTGTGGCGGGGGACTTTAACAGCGCCAACCCAAACTTTTATCAGCACATATCCTGCCCCACCAGGGGTGAAAGGACACTGGACCACTGTTACACAACAGTCAAAGACGGCTACAAGGCACAATCCCGCCCCCCATTTGGGAAATCTGACCACGTCGCCATCTTCCTCATGCCAAAATACAAACAAAGGCTCAAGCAGGAAGTTCCGGCTCAGAGGGAGGTCGCACGCTGGACGGACCAATTGGAGGCCGCTCTACAGGACGCACTCGATGACGCAGACTGGGACATGTTCTGACGCAGCTCTGATGACATAAACGTGTTTACGGGAGCGGTTGTGGGATTTATCGGGAAACTAGTAGATGATACTGTGCAGAAAACGACCATCAGAACGTTTCCCAATCAGACCACCCTAGGTAACGTCCACATGTGATGAAAGAACTGAAATCTGATGAGAGAAAGGGGTGGGTCAGGGACAGTCAGGCTGGGGAGGAAATAGCTAGATGATGTTGGCCTTCCTCCAGCCAGGAAATGAGGTGGGTCCTATATGACTTGCTGCAGCTTCTAATGCACATTGTGAGAAGCTCGCAGCGTGCAGGAAAATCAGAGGAAGGAATTTCAGTCCAGGAGAGGAGCCGACTGTGCAAGACTGAAGGGAAGGCCGGGGTGGTTGGGAGGTTATAATGGAAACCTGAGTTAGACGTGACGTTTTCCATTGACAGGCCAAGCACAATGCGACTCTTCCCCACCAGCCGCACACAGCCACACACAGACATAACTGGGTCACATAGCGTTATATGAGGCCGTACACAGCGTGGTAATGACTAAACATGTCTGTCTTCTACATGTGTGTCATACTGACAGTCACTACGTCTTCACGTCTCTCCAATTTCATCTCTTCCCATCATTTATACTTTATATCAAATCAGAGCCATTGCTTGAGGGGGAAGCTGCAGTGGTTTTTATCTGTTTTATTATTTTTAAGGTTCACACCTTTAAAAACTGTTTTATATAAGTTTCACTTGTGCAAAATCGTTATTTTTAACGGAAAGTTACAGTAGATGTAAATCATAACTGAATGGCACTTAGTTTGCTCTGTGCTCTGTGTAGTGCAGTTATAGAAAAACCTCACAGAGCCATTCATCCTGCAAAACTGCATGGCCATTCGTTCTTTGCGGATGGGGCAAAAACGGATGTTAGGATATTTTCTTTCCAGGTCGAATATGATTAAAGTGACACTAAACTCAGGAGCTAAAATACATCCAAGGACCTTGATATTAACAAAAATGTCTCTTATTTGTGTATCACTCGGCTGTAGATCCTCCAATCATCTCTGAATTGGTGCTGACATTGTCCTTCTGGAGGGGGGCTACAATCTCAGGTTTAGTTTACTAATTTGTATTGCGATTGTAGTCCATCATAGGAGGGAGCTTGGAGTGGTGACTACTTTACAACACACACAGGGACCATGGGGAACAAAAGTAGCCACCCTCCAGAAGGAAGGACAGTGGCCGCACCAATTCAGAGATGATTTGAGGATCTACAGCCGAGTGTTCCACAAATAAGATACATTTTTGTTAGTAGTTAAGGTACCTGAATGTATTTTTAAGATTTAAGTCCTGAGTTTAGTATCACTTTAATTCATAAAACTAGAGAAAATCAGGAAAATACCACATCATGGCCACTAGATGGAGCTGAAGATCATCGGAGTATTTTATTATCTCGGCTCCATCTAGTGGCTAAAATGTGGTATTTTCCCGATTTTCGGTAATCTTATGAATTACATTCGACCTACAGAAAAAAATATACTAAATAACATTTGCCTTTGCCCCATTTGCACAGAAAAAATGTACATGCAGTTTCATAGTTTGCAAAAGTTTTATAAATGTATCCCCAAGTGTCATAAACAATTATTTTTTGTCATCTCAGTTCTGCTGTTCTCCTACAAACTCTTTGTAGCCACTTCCTGTCTACATGCACTCCAGCGATGGCTGCATGGCATTTCACAGGGCAGATTTCCTGATGGTGAAAACGGTGGACGATGCCCACGTAAAGTGTGTTGAGATGGCTGCTCTGATGGGGACAGAGTGTTGTCACCCTGTAACAGGAAGTGCCAAAACAAGGACCCTCAGCAGGATTTGATTGAAAGCTGCAGATTTAAAAAAATTATTTTGAAAATACATAACCATGTTACAGATAAGATATTTTAGTGATCAGGTTTACATCCACTATAAGAGGGCATCCAAATGTGTGTATCTATTACTGCCCCAATGTGTGTTGGTGCATGCTGGTCGCCCGTTCTGTGCAAGCATTTTGTGGGGGGGGCGTGGCCATTCTTTTTAAATGGGCTCCCAGCTCACATTCACACACCAGCAGACACCTGGGTGCAGTGGGAAAATAAGAGTCCTGCACATTATTTTTTGATGCGTGGACCTATATGTAATAGATGGGCACATGCAGAAATACACATATACTGTATACTGTATATACATATCAATGTGCATCAACACACATCAAGATGCAACACGCACTGTAATGCATTTGCATAGGTATGAAAGCTCCGGGTGCATCCGTGACATTGTAAATTACGCTTTTATTGCATATCTTGCGCCAAAAAGTGAACCCTATGACATAATATAACAAACTCAGAGAGCTCGCTAGAGACCACAAACAAAGCAATTATTGATCTCCGTACAATTTTTTATTTTGTCAAATAAAATCAACACACACGATCCTTCCCTAGAGATGGGAAGAAATACATTCATGACAGTTGTAGAATTTCTTGTCATATATCTTCTCATTTATTCAGCACTGAAAATAAAATACAATACAATGGATCTAAAATCAGACCTGCACCATATTTGCTGATGCAGCGCACCACAGTGCACAATAGTGGGGTACAGTGTGGGGTGGGGTGGGGGGGTGTTGCTTCTGTGTGTTGGGATGCCATTCAAAATGGAAGTGTGCCTTACTGTGCACTAGAAGTGGGCATTGCTTCACAACATTACAATAGAAGTAAAGCCAAACCTTTTTGGGGGCTTTAGTCCTCTTTTGGGTCACAGGAGTATATTAAATAATGTACTTATGTGACCCAAACTCAGCATCTAGGGGGCTACATCTTGTCTAGAATTGTATTGTGTTTGTAATGTCTTCCTTATATTGTAAAGCGCTGCACAAACTGTTGGCGCTATATAAATCCTGTATAATAATAATTATCTTGCATGTCCATTGTTATAGATTTGCCCCACCCCATTTGCAGCGATATCCTTCTACAGAATATTTTGGAGTGTCTGTGGGAATTTTTTCCCATTTGTCAGGTCAAGTACTGATGTTCACACGAACTATTAATGATCCCCCAGAGAATCAGCCTGTAATGCTCTTTACAAGTGATAATTTACAGTACCACATAACAAATAAAGCCCTGGTCCGTAACCATATAGCCTAAGAACCATCAAACCGCCTGTGTACATTTAATGCACAGGCTCAAGAAGTTACCTGGAGACCAGAGGCAATTATTTAGATTTAAAAGATTAAAACGTATTGCGCCACTACCCGAAACACCCTATTAAAATCAATTGACAACGCTGTCAAACTCTCAGAGGGTTCGAAACATTGTCAATTGATTTTAATAGGGTGTTTCGGGTAGTGGCGCAATACGTTTTAATCTTTTAAATCTAAATAATTGCCTCTTGTCTCTAGGTAACTTCTTGAGCCTGTGCATTAAATGTACACAGGTGGTTTGTTGGTCCTCAGGTACTGATGTTGGATGAGAAGATCTGGCTCACAATTTAAGGTTCCACATCATCCCATAGATATTCAGTAGGGTTGAGGTCAGGGCTCTGTGCAGGACACTCAAGTCCCTCCACACCAAACTGGTCACACCATGTCTTTTAGGGAACTGGCTTTGTAAACAGGGGTACAGTCATGGTGGAATCGTAAAGGGACTTCACCAAACTGTTACCACAAGGCTGGAAGAGCACAATTGTCTACAATATCTTATTATGTATTAGCATTAACAATACTCTTCACTGGGAACATCTGAACTAAATCATCTGGAGGGGGGTCCACATACTTTTGGCCCTATAAGTGCCCCTGGGCGCTCTTTTTGTCCTATGGCTAAAATGTTTAAAAATTTAAATAAAATGTATTTTTTTAAAAAGGACGAACCCCGACAGTCTGCTTTCACCAGGGCTACACAAAAAATATGATGAGAAACAATAACAATTGACTTCTCATATATCTGAATATTCCTGAATTGACATCTCTGCGTATTACAATTGCAGTTTGTCTCTTTGCAGCACAGGGTAGTATTGGGGTAAGGCACAGAAAAGGTGGCATTACATGGCGGCGTTATTCTTGAACCTGGGATCGGAAAATGCAAAAATCGGAGTGCAGGAGGAGCTGCTGACCACGGTAACCATTGAAATGTCACTGAGAAAAGTGCAATGGGGAATAGCACAATAATGCTCCAGGTGTCCTGTATCCGTGTGCAGGAATCTGAACATTCTTAAATCATTCTAATTTCGGACACTTATTTTAAAAAGGTTTATAGAAGTCTCTTATTTAGCTTCACTTCGATGACACTGGAGCTGGGAGACAGAGCTGAGAGACCCATGACAGATGCTGCTCCATCAAGTGTCTGGTCTCATGTCCTTAACACATGCTGTCGTTAAGCTCCTGAGTGTACAGTGTCAAATAAGACAGCCTGCGGTTGTTCACAATCATTCCAGCAATGGGCCCGACATCCAATACTGTTATTCAGGACTTGGAAGGCAGCGTGTGTGATCTGGTCTCACATTGTTTTTGAGCTTCTGAGTTTACATCTGTGAGGGTTCTCATTCATCCAGGTCATGGTATATCTGTAAAATATAAGTCAAGGCAACTGGACTTGCTGTGTTTTTCTTGAAGATGTTTCACTGATCATCCAACCAGCTTTCTCCATTCAGAATGGAGCCTGAATTGAGAAAGCTGGTCGGATGTCCAGTGAAACGTCTTCAAGAAAATAGCAAGTCCAGTTGCCTTGATTTATTTTTTTACAGATATTCTGAGGTTTACAATAAGAAGTAATACAGCCCCATTGTTAAGCACATTCCTCTAAACAATGGGGCTCTGATATCTGATTCTATTATGCACATTCATTAGCTGGAAGACAGCATGTGATTTTTTTGGGTCTCATGCAGATAACACATACTGTCTCCAAGCTGCTAAGTGTGCACTGGCAACAAACACAATGTGGTAGCGGTTTACATTCCTCTCATGGCTCTGATATCTAATACTGTTCTGCAGATTCAGGAGCTGGAAGACAATGTGTGCTATCAGGGGGTTTATAAGCTCTGATTCTCAGCTTCAGGGTTATTCTCAGACAAAATAATAAAAAAAATAAAAGGGGGCAAATATGGATCTGCAAATGTCTGAATACATAAAATTCTTGCATAAGCTCAGTTTTTTTGTTTCTCATTCATACCTTGTTGTGTATGTTACTGATAAAGTATAAAGGGAGCAGTAGCAATGCTTTTCAAGGATTGCACCATGTGCTGTATTGCGCACATCCTCCCTGGAAGAAAGACAGACGCTTCAGTCTGTCAAAAAATGAAAAGTGCCATGAACCAGCTGGTGGCCATTTTGTGATGCACTCTGGCTGATAGAATATTGCAGTGTGCGCGTAGATCCTTCCAAATCAGAAGGAGACTTCTCCGTCTACAGCATCTATGCCATGCGGAGATTACATATAGCTGACATCAGTTTGTGACGCGAGGGCTGGTGTCATCACCCCTCTCAGATTCGGGGTTCCAGCCTTCCTTCTTCAGCACTAGCTCCACGGCCTGCCCCACATCCTGCACCACATAACGCGCCTCCACCAGGCTGGGCTCCAGCTGGAAATCGCGGTGCCCATGGAAAACGGTCTCAGTGATGCTCTCTTGCAGGTCTGCTGGCACCTCCTTCTGATTTCCGTAAACACCGGTGCACACCAGGATGGACTCGCAGCTCTGTGGATGGCCGGATGAAGTGTCTCCTTGCCGAGTCTGCAGATGACGATTGTAGAGGTTGGCGCCGTATATGTCTGCCATGGGATTATCACTGAGGAAGAGAGAGCGACGGATATGATGATGGATATGAGATGGATACGTTGTTAAAGTGATAGTGAATATCCATTGAGCACATATGTCAGTTATTACTGTAATGATTACTGAAAGTAGACATGAACCTAACTGAATGACATTTGATTTGCTCTGTGCACAGATTATCATACACAATTACCATTTTTTAAATAAAAACCTGTTTTTAACCTTTTTTATAATGTGTTAAATTTCAGTGCTGCTGATCTCCTGCACCCTCTTCAAACCACTTTCTGTCTACATGCGCTCCAGCAATGGCTGCATGGCATTTCTCCGGGCAGTTTCCTGAAAGTGACGATAGTGGACCATGCATGCCTAATATGTGTTTGATTGGCCACTTGTAGTTCCATGTGACAGGATGGGTAAGTACATTAAAGAGACACTGTCACCTTAGCTATCGAGGGCGAAGTGACAATACCCTTGCAGACACACCCCCCCGCCCTTTCCCAACCTCCCCAAAACCCATGATAGTCATCTTGTCAGTGCTTCTTCAGTTTTCCTGCCTCAGTCACAGCTGGCACTGAAATCCCCAGTGTCAGACACTAGGGAGATTAGCGATGTCACACGCACACGTCATGTGTGGTGCTCTGGCCAAGAGATCGGTTGCTGCACCCAAGCACTGTGACATGGAAGGATCTCACACCTGGTACCTCAAATGGTACTTCAGGGTATGGGGGAGCATGTGACCTCCTCTTACAGGTCCCAGTTCTTCCCTGACGTATTAAGTGTATACACTCACCCGACAGCATACAAGGTCCGTATTGGGGCATCCCAGCCCCGCTCTCTCGTCTGCCTTATAACCAGCTGCTCGGCGAAGCCGTATGTCACCATGCTGGGTTTGCCAATCAGGGCTTCATAACACAGCTTCTTCCCGGTGATTTTCCGGTACAAAGTCTCCAGGCACACCAGAAACGTCCCGTGGCCGAACCTGGACAGGAGAAACCATGACAGATTATATAGTGTCGCAACAGGTTAAAGATTTGCTGCCATCAAACTCGAAAGCAGCATTATGAAGAAAATCTGCTGTGTTTTTCCCCTTCTGTCCCCATGTAGTGCTGTGGGATGTCTCTGCCTTGCTGTAGCTCTGGCCTACACCTGCCTCCATCCCTCATTCACTTGAGACTCCCTATTTCTGAGCCTGCGATTCTATAGACCAGGAAGGATAAAACCGTGCGTATATACCCCCTGCTCACCTGGGCATCTTTGCTTCCGCCATCCAAAGAAGATCCATGTTGCATGCCAAAACAGGAATGTGCGGGTATGGGGGCTGCGCCTGCCATTCGGTCGGCTTGCCGGAGCTCAGCAAAATATCCAGGATGAGCTGCAGGCTGGTCTCCCACCGCACCGGCTCCCCCAGCAGGACGATGGCTGCAAGAAAACATGAGGCATTACTGGTTCTGGAAGTATCCAGTTTATTGACAAACAATCTGACTGCTGCCCTTCAATGATTTGGCTCACACAGGGCTTGGGAACAAAGTGCCTGTGAGCTAAGTGGCGTTAAAAAATTGGCATTTGAACAATTGAAGTTTAACCTGTAAGTAACATATTTATTTTCATATCAATTCTATAAATCTTGCAACTGGGATCATAGTTAGCATGGTTGAAGGGTTTGTTCAGTGCACACTGTGCCACATGTATGCACAAATGGAGCCACAGCTCCAAGGTGAATACCGCTGTGACAGATGTGAGCAGATTGCACTTCAGGAAGCTCAGATCAGAGATCTGGAAGAGCGACTTGACAACCTTGAGAGGAGTCTGCTGATCACTGAGCAGGCAGTTAATGGGGTTGATGTGGAGGGGTAAGTGAGGATGATCAGGTAGGAAGCTGGTTTACTGTAGCTAGAGGGAGTGGCAGGGGCTCACAGAAGAGGAAGGCCAGCCCTGTGTTTGTGCACCCAAACAAATTTGCTAAGTTGGGTGAAGATGTGCGGGTCTCAGACTCAGAATTGGCAGCCCTAGATGTCACTGCTACCCCTAACAGCCGGGAGAGCCGCACATCTAGTCCGGGTGTTGAGGGTATTGCAGGAAGGCCTAGACAGGTTGTGGTAATAGGGGATTCTATAATTCGGAGGACTGATAGAATAGTTTGTCGCCCGGATCGCCTCAACCGGATGCTTTGCTGTCTCCCTGGTGCCAGGGTTCGGCATGTGGTGGACCGGGTGGACAAATTACTGGGAGGGACTAGGCATGACCCAGCTGTCTTGGTCCATGTTGGGACGAATGACAGAGTACATGGAAGATGGAGGATCCTTAAAAATCAATTTAAAGAACTAGGTTGCAAGCTGAAGCGAAGGACCTACAAGGTAATATTCTCTGGAATATTGCCTGTGCCATGCGCAACGCAGGACAGACAGCGGGAGCTTAGAGAACTAAATGCATGGCTGAAGACCTGGTGTAGGAGGGAAGGCTTTGGGTTTCTAGAGCACTGGGCCGACTTTTCATTGGGGTACAACCTACATGCTAAAGATGGTCTGCACCTAAATGGAAGGGGGGCTGCTGTGCTAGGGGAGAGGTTCATGGGAGGGTTGGAGGAGTATTAAAACTAGGATTAAGGGGGGAGGGAAATATGGAATATAATGGGGCAGATATGTCAAACAGGGGTTGGGCTATAATGGAGGGTGGAACAGGGGGAAGATGGGGGAAGGGAAATCAAACTAGATAAGGAAATTCCCATGTTGCACACAAACATTGGAGATGATGGTACTGATTGTACTACAGCAAAAGATACAGCAATTACAAGTATAAAATGGCTTGAATTGTTTGTTCGCCAATGCCAGAAGTGTGCACAGCAAAATGGGAGAACTTGAAGCTTTGGTGCATGAGGAGAACTATGACATGATTGGTATTGCTGAATCCTGGCTTGGTTCCTCACATGATTGGGCTGTTAATATTCCTGGCTATACTCTCTTTCGGAGAGACAGGGTAAAACGAAAAGGTGGTGGGGTTTGTCTCTATGTGAGAAGTGATCTTAAAGCGAGTGTGAAAGAGGACTTTGTTGATGGTGAGTGTGATGGTGCTGAGGCGTTATGGGTGGAGTTGTATACTGGTATGCATAACGCAAAGGTAATTGTTGGAGTTTGTTATAGGCCCCCCAGCGTTACTGAAGAGATAGAGACTCAGCTCCTTAAACAAATAGAAAGGGCTGCAAGGGCGGGGACAGTAGTATTAATGGGAGATTTTAATTATCCTGACATTGACTGGCATAATGGCACTGCAGGAACAGTAAAAGGGCGGACATTTATAAACTTTGTACATGATAATTTTATGGTACAGTTTGTAGAAGCCCCAACTAGAAAATATGCTCTGCTGGATCTGGTAATCTCAAACAATGCAGAGCTTATTACAAATATTCATATAAAAGAACATCTGGGTAGCAGTGACCATAATAGGATTTCATTTAACTTAAGTTGTAAACAACATTCACATACTGGAAAAGCTGTCAAGCTGCATTTTCTAAAGCAAGCAAAATACTTTCTTGTATTAAGAGGGGTATAGACTCCGGAGATAGAGACATAATCCTGCCCCTGTACAAAGCATTAGTAAAACCTCATCTGGAATATGCAGTTCAGTTTTGGGCACCAGTTTACAAAAAGGATATTGTGGAACTGGAGAAAGTGCAGCAAAGGGCGACTAAACTCATAAGAGGCATGGAGGAGCTTAACTATGAGGAAAGATTTGCTGACCTGAATTTCTTCTCTCTGGAGAAGAGGCGACTAAGGGGGGACATGATCACCAGGTATAAATACATAAATGATCAATATAAGGAGCTTGGTGCCAAATTATTCACTTTAAGGCCCCATTCACACTGAGCGATTTATCGAGCGATTTTTGCAGCGATATCGCTCATATTTCCACGCGATATCACTCTATGTAGCTTCTCCAATCCATTTCAATGGAGCTGTTCACATCTCGCCTCTCAATATCGCTTGTAGCTCGTCGCTGGTAGCTTGTCGCTCCTACATGACCCTTTTTTCGAGCGATTTCGAGCGATATTGCTCCTGATTGCATACAGCCCAATAGGAAAAAGACGCGACACGTCGCTCAATATCGCTCAAAATCGCGCGATTTTCATGTCGCTCAGTGTGAATGGGGCCTAAGGCCACTGCAAAGGGCAAGGGGGCACTCTTTGCATCTGGAGGAAAAGAGGTTTAACCTTTGCATACGAAAAGGATTCTTCACAGTTAGAGCTGTGAAAATGTGGAATAGACTCTCCCAGGAGCTTGTTCTAGCTAGCTCGGTAAATTGTTTAAAAAAATATCTGGATGTATTCCTTAATGCATAGAATATTACTGGATATTCAGGTCCATTCACAAAAGGGTGAAGGGTTTGGAGAAGGCAGGAGAAGTGAACAATCTAGGACAACATAGCTGATTTGGAAAAATTCTCCAATTCAGCTCACTTTCCAGTTCAGCTATGTTGTCCTAGATTGTTCACTTCTCCTGGCTTCTCCACACTCTTCACCCTTTTGTGAATAACCCTGATTGAGTTATTAGAGGTATATTAGGCATCAGAGATTGTTGATCCAGGGAATATCTGATTGCCTCATGGGATCAGGAAGGAATTGTTTTTTCCCCTGTTGGAGCAAATTGAACCGTGCTTTATAGGGGGTTTTTTGTTTGCCTTCCTCTGGATCAACAGTGGGTAATTGTGGACATAGTGTTCTGTTTAGGCTTTTCTTCTTCTTTTTTTTTCTCTCTATAGGTTGGACTCGATGGACTTGTGTCTTTTTTCAACCTGACTATGTAAATTTACCAGCATGCTGGAGGCTACAGACTTGTATTGCTTTCAAAAGCATACAAGGTACTTCTGCGATTCATGGTGCCCACTAGTGAGGGTGGACATCGCTACATCTCTGGTGACAATCAGGCAATGTACAAAGGCCATTACAGTACCAGGAATAGACAATGGTAATAAATTCAATTTCTCACCTTCTATAGTAGGGAAAGCCAAGCTGGAAGAAGGACCCTGCAAGAGAGAAATTTGTAAGGAGTCAAATGATATACCCAGAATGCTCCTGTGCAAATGAAAAACCTCAGTTTAAACTTTTTAGGGGAAATTGATCAAAACTGGAGCAGAAGAATCTGGAGCAGTTGCCCATGGCAACCAATTAGCTTCTCTCTTCCGTTTGTTCAATTAAGGTTTGAAAATGAAAGTTGGATGCTGATTAGTTGCCATGGGCAACTGCTCCAGATTCTGTCTGCTCCAGTTTTGATAAATTCCCCTCTATGTATATATGTTGTCTTTCAGCATGGAGAACCTGTCACCTGGTAATTCTTAATGCAGAGCTTTTAGCACCAAAGGAGTTAAAAATAGTGTCCTTATACAACCCCTGACCTTTACCCCTCACACGTCATCCGAAAATGTAGAAGTTAGGGCCTTTGTCAATGACATCAGTGTGACAGATTGAGATGCTTCGGAGATCATTCAGAATTCATTAAGCCGACCTCCTCCTGACCTGCTTCTAGTGTGTTTTGGATTACTATAGACTTGTATGAGTGTATGTGTGAATGCAAAACTTTGATGGGCATTTTACTCTGACTCCTAAAGTGGAACTCTAGACAAAATTTAAAAAAAATGGCACATATCCTGCAGTCTGTCATTGGCATTAACACTGCAGTTTTTTTTAGTCCCCCTGTAACATAGTTTCTTGCACTTTAATTTCTTGTAACAGAGTGACAACACTTTTCGTTATGCTGTAAAATTGCTTGATAACGTTGTCAGCCTGTGAACAGGGGAGTCTTAAGGTGCCCATACACCTTACAATTATCTGCAGATTTTCTGTGGTCAGATGGAAAAAGTGCAACAGATTGGCCCAGGTGGAGATGACTCCATCCACACAGTTAAGTGTAGATGGAGGAATCTGTTGCATCTTTTCCATCTGACCACAGAAAATCTGCAGATAATTGTAAGGTGTTTGGGCACCTTTAGATGGACATGCAGTTTTAACTGAACATTAACCCCTTCATGACGGGAGACGCACACTGTACGTCCCGCCACAAAGGGACCAAATGACTACGTGACGAGTTATTTGCTGCATTAGAGGGCTGGTAACCGCTGAGAATCAGCGGTTACCATTCATTAATGGGTGCCTCAGTATAGAGGCATTCATTAATGAAAGGGTTAACCTTTTTCAGACACCTGATACCTTAATATAGGGTGTCTGAGAGTCAAATCAGAGCCGCAAAAGCTGGCATTCTGACAGCTAGAGATATCTCTCTCAAGCTATACTGGCTTTTTTTTTCTTTCACTTTCACGAATAGATACATAATGTATCTATTCGTGAAAGAAGAATGTTTCAGTTTGCTGATTGTTGTTGTAACAATCAGAAAACTAGTGACAGCTGAATCCTGAACTGCTGCAGGATCAGTGTCACTAACTTATTATTGGCTCTTCTGAAGTTTGAAACAGCCTAATAATAACCAAAAATGTATTAATTTATCAAGCAGTAATAGTGAGATTAATTCACAATGACTGCTTGATATAATTAAATAAATAAAATAAAAATTGTAAAAGTTTTACAAAAATAGTGAAAAGTGTAAAAAAAATAAAAATAGTGAAAAGTGTAAAGAAAAAAAAAAAGAAGTGTAAAAAAATAAAAGACAAATAAATGAATGTATTTATTGCGGGTTTTTTTTAGCTGTGCAGGTTTTGTAAAAAATACTACAAATCAAAACTGGGAAAAAAGTGTTTTTCTCTAGTCACCTTCCAGAACAGCATTAGAGAGATAGGCTCCTCCCACCGGAACAGGAAACACATCACCCACACCTAAATAAAAAGGAGCACAAGCCTAGCACGCTTCAGTTATTTGTGTTTCCTCCGGCCAAACAGGACATCGTAATGTTTGTTGTTTTAAGCCAGGCCTTCGTGCTAGTGAGCAGGGGCCTCCCTGGTTCCTGAGTACCACATGCCAGGGACAGTGGACCTGAGGTGCTCATGGAAGGGGATTCCAAGACAGCCCCATCTGTCTATAGGATTCTATTTTTGTATGCCTGAGGTTTCCTGCATGAATTGCAAGGCAACCGTCCTTCTGGTGTAAAGGGCTCAGTGGAGTCCTCCCTAGTACTGCGACCTTCCTCCATCCTACTGAGGTCTTCGGGGGGATTGCTTACTTTTCTGGTGTGCATCAGACACCAGGACAGCGGTCGGTGGGACCTCCATGGAGCTTCCGGTTAGGCCACCATTTCCCTGGACCATTTCCGGTCAAAACGGCCATCTTTGTCGGCCTAAGGCCGGGTGCAGGCACATGCTCGCTCACGCTGCATGGTGGATGGAGGAGGAGCAGGACGCAGAACCTTGCAGCTCCCACACCCTCAAAAGGGGGCATCAGAAGCCGGGCACTGAAGCTGGAGTCTTCAAGGAAGGGAGCCCTGGGAGCAGACTCATTTTCTAAAGCAGCATCAGCTGATCCGGTGGATCCTGGTGCTAGCAGCTCTGAGGTAGGACAGGGGTTGGACCCCCATTCCTATTCTTCTTCTCTGTGTTTGGGGACACGAGGGACTGGATGACACCTTTTCAAGTGCTGGTGTTCATTGGGCTACGTTTTTGTGTGTTTTGCAGAACAAGCCCTCTGAAGGAACTTTGTCTTCCTCTATGTATGGGGTTGTATGAGTACTGACCTGTGTGTTCAACAGAGGCGCTGGTTTGATGTTTGGGAAACCAAGGCCTCTGAAGGAAGAATGCTCTTATCAGTCAGCACACATGGCAGCGATGTGCAGCCTGCAACATTAAATATCCCTCTTCTTCCAAAAAAACCACTGTGCAATCCTGTGTAGGGAAGCCAGTGGTGGATGAATCGCCAGGCATGTTTTAAGGCCTGATAGACTGTATGAGGGAAGAGATGATGTCGACTCTTCAGTCATTTTGCACAGTAATCCAAGTTGTAGAAATGATTGGGAGCCAGTCTCTTGATCAGGGACCTTCTGGTTCAGAGAATGCAGGGAAGAATGCATGTGCTGTACTGCGTAGGGCACAAGAACTCCTGGGAGGTGTTCCTCCTTTTGAGTGTTGGTTACTGGGGGTTACAGTGCCTCTTTCTAACACAGGAGGTATGTGTTATTTCCACCAGTGCATGGCTGATTAGAGGCAAGGGCTGCAGCACAGATACGTTTTTTAATCTGCAAAGCAGCAAACCCAGACAAGTAAGCAACCGAATTACTCCTACACGGAATGGATGTGGGGTGCAGGGTATTGTGAATTGTTTCCAAATTTCACACTCTTTCGCAGCCTCTGTTTTGTTGCAGATGTTTATAAAGAGTTATCAGCCTAGAATGGCTGTAGCAATTGCTTTAGACTCCTTTTGCCGAAAGCATTACAGTGGGCAAGAGTACTGCAGGGGTATTGCTCCAGTTTTGTGCACTCTCCTTTAATTAAAGGGAAATTCAAAAGGAGAGACAATAGCTTGGGGGGAAAAACCCTTTCCTTGCTGTGGTGTAATTTTTTAATATGGGCCTGCATTATTTTACCCAGACAAGTAAACAACCTATTACTCCCACATGGAATGGATGTGGGGTGCAGGGTTCCGGTGGGAGATACTTTCTCCATTATGGAAACCCTTTCCTAGCTGTGGTGTAATATTTTAATGTGGGCCTGCATTATTTTTTGACAGGCTCCAATGCTAATACTCTGCATTATGCTGCAGACGGGCTGGTTCATAGGCACTCATTAAAATGTGCAGAAATTGGACTTCTAATTACACTAGCACAGTGCTGCAAGGCTAAGAGGGAGTTCCGTTGCTGGTAGCAACCAACCAGGATTTCCTACCTGGCCTGGGCTTGTTGTGAGCTCCCAAGTTGGAGGCTATGATTGCTCTCACCTGAGTAGAGCAGGGTAGGGCTCTTTCAGCCCTGTTTGAGTAGACTGCACTTAATTTTCACTTCCCTGTCTTAGAGATGGGAAAGTGAAGAGGCAAAATCCCAGAGTATGGGAATTGCTGGAGGAGGTTACTTACTTCCTGGGAAGATATGTATTACCCATTAAAGATTTTTAGTTGACGAGTGTATGTATGTGTTAAATCATGTCTCACTGTATGATAGCAAGCATCTAACCTTTTTCAGATGGAGTTTTCTCTTCCAATCCTCAATTTGCTCACAGGTGGAGCTGATCCATTGATTGTAGCTGCCTCACAGGTGTGGGGTCTTTGCTTATTACTCTGGATGCAATGCAGAGTGTGCAGCACTTGCCCAGTCCAGGATGAGAGCTTGTGGCTATGGTTCTCTGTCTCTTGGACAGAGATCACATACAGGGATATATTTCTGTGGCTTGTTGTAGCTGTAGGTTATTTCCCGACCATAAGTGGAATCTGCTTTTAGAAAGTCATGAAGTCCAAGATTTATTCATACCTAATGTATTTGTGTATTTGATATTTCTATGCGATCTCAGCAATAACCAGTTATTGCTTAGTATAAGCATTCGTTCAGAAGGCGATCTATGAATTTCAGTAGTGATGCATATTCCTATACGGCCTCCAATATAACCAAGTTTCAGCTTTAGAGAGAGCTTCATTGGTTCATGGGGTGGTCATGTATCTCAGTATTGGGGTATACCTTGTTTTCAGTATTACTACACTGCCTCTAATTAGAATCAAGTTGCAGCCTCAGTGCAAACATCGTTGGCCCAGGAGGGAGTTGGGTTTGATTGTGAGTATGGTGCTCGCTTATCCTCTCTAATGCTGTCCTGGAAGGTGACTAGGGAAAATTGGAGTTACGTACCTGGTAACTCTGTTTCTAGGAACCTTCCAGGACAGCAGGGATTCCCGCCCGATATGGTGGCGTTATTTACTATGCGTTGCTATGCAATGTAATGTTATATATTATTATGAACGAGTTGCAATATGGTATCCTTCGGTTCTTATGTTTTAACTGAAGCGTGCTAGGCTTGTGCTCCTTTTTATTTAGGTGTTGGTGATGTGTTTCCTGTTCCGGTGGCAGGAGCCTATCTCTCTAATGCTGTCCTGGAGTTACCAGGTACGTAACTCCAATTTTTTTAACGATATTTCCTCTTTTTTTAATATTTTATTTGTCCTAAGTGAGGCGTTAGACACACATATGTGATATGAATATGTAGCCCTATCTGTTCTCTAAAAAACAATATATAATATGTGTGGGTGCGCTTTGTAAGAAAGTATATTACTGATGTGGAAGAATCACACAGCAAAAATGTCAAAAGAGTGTCAGTCATTTACAAACAGAAACTAAAAACAAGCTCAGTCATGAAGGGGTTAAGTAAGTGACAAAGGCCAACTCCAGCTTACACCATTTAAGCAGTTGCAGCAAGTTTTTTTTTTTGAAACATTCCTTTCCAGAGAGTTTGGTCCATATTGACATGATAGCATCATGCAGTTGCAGCAAATTTGTGGTCCATATTGACATGCTAGCCTCATGCAGTTGCTGCAAATTTGTCAGCTCCACATCCGTGATGCAAATCTCCCGTTCCACCACATCCCAAAGGTACTCTATTGGATTGAGATCTGATAACAGTGGAGGCCACTTCAGTAGTGAACTCATTATCATGTTCAAGAAACCAGTTTGAGATGATTTTAGCTTTGTGACATTGGCATTATGCTGCTGGAAGTAGCCATCAGAGAATAGGTACACTATGGTCATAAAGGGATGGACATGCTCAGCAACAATACCCAGGTAGACCGTGGCATTTAAACAATGCTCAGCTGGTACTAAGGGGTCCAGAAGTGTGCCAAGAAAATATCCCCCACACCATTAGACCACCACCAGCCTGAACCGTTGATGCAAGGCAGGATGGATCCATGCTTTCATGTTGTTTATGCCAAATTCTGACCCCACCATCTGAATGTCGCACCAGAAATCGAGACTCATCAGGCCAGACAATGTTTTTTATATTTTTCTTCTATTGTCCAATTTTTGTAAGACCTTGTGAATCTTAGTCTAAGTTTCCTGTTCTTAGCTGACAGGAGTGGCACCTGGTGTGGTCTTCTGCTGCTGTAGCCCATCTGCTTATTTGAGTTACTGTTGTCTTTCTATCAGCTTGAACCAGTCTGCCCATTCTCCTCTGACCTCAACAAGGCATTTTCGCCCAGACAACTGCTGCTCACTGGATATTTTCTCTTTTTCGGACCATTCTCTGTAGACCCGAGAGATGGTTGTGCGTGAAAATCCCAGTAGATCAGCAGCTTCTGAAATGCTCAGAGTGGCACCAAAAACCATGTCATGTTCAAAGTCACTTAAAGTGACATTAAACCCTCAGATTTTTTTAACATAAACCAATACTGTAATGTGCGCCTTACTGTAATCCATACTAGTTTCCCTTCTCTTTGCTGCTCTTCCTTTTAAATCCTCATGTCTTCTCATGCTGGGGGAGAACTTCCCTTTTCAGCTGAGTGCCTATACCTGTAGTGCTGGCTCAGGTTACAAGCCTATACACAGACACCGTGTATCGATTCCTGAGACAAGGCAGTCTGCTGCAAAACAGAAGTTCTGCCCAGCATGAGAAGAGATACAGATTTAAAAGGAAGAGCAGCAAAGAGAAGGGAAACTAGTATGGATTACAGTAAGGCGCACATTACAGTATTGGTTTATGTTAAAAAAATCTGAGGGTTTAATGTCACTTTAAATCCCCTTTTTTCCCCATTCTAAAACTCGGTTTAAACTTCAGCAGATTGTTGACCATGTCTACATTTATTGAGTTACTGCCATACGATTGGCTGATTAGATATTTGAGTTAACGAGCAGTTGAACAGGTGTACCTAATGAAGTGCCCAGTGAGTATATGTATTTATTTTGCCCAGAGTTCCACTTTAACCTCTTCCCTATGGGTGCCCACACACACCTTACGATAATCGCACGATAATCGTGGGAAATCCCGCGATCGTACGATTATCGTAAGGTGTGTGGAACCTGTGCGACCTCTGCTACTGTAAGGTCGCATGACTTTTAACTTACGAACATGTTTGAAAACCCGCCGAGCATCGTATGATGTTCGGCGGGTGTGTAGCATGTTCGTAAGATAAAAGCCGGACGGGCCGGTGTGCGCAGGGGGGGCGCGGCTTGCGATCATCGCAAGTACGATCTGCCTGTCCAAGATAGGCAGATCGTACGTTTTTTTTAAGTACCTTACAACCATCGCAAGACAAAAGTCTTGCGATGGTTGTAAGGTGTGTGCCAAGCATAACACCTACATTTGGGATGAACCCTTAGGCCCCATTCACACTGAGCGATTCGCAAATCGCGCGATTTGCATTTTGCGCGATATCGCGCAAATGGTTGCATTTGCTCCAAAAAGGGTCCTGCTGTAGCGACGCACGACCCGCGACAGCCAGAGCCCCATTGCCATGCATTGGAGAGCGATATCGCGCGGTAAATCGCTCAGTGTGAATGGGGCCTTAGGGCTTGTTCACACGACGTCCGGATTCAGTCCGGACCAGATCCATGCGCTCCTGCACCCAAAATGTATCCCTATGTGTTTTATGGGCTACAGTTCTCACGTGCGCACTCCGTTCTGGACAGAAAAATACTGCATGTCACATTTTGTCCGGTTCCGGATACGGTCTGGAAACGCACGAACGCGTCAAAAACGCACCGCACTGCAGCTAACATACTGACAGCCCCACTCCCAACAACATTTTTTATTTTTTTAACTGGAACGAGTCAAAAACGCACTGCACGCATAGCACCGCGTCTGCAGATCTGCTCCAGCTCTGGACCAGAAAATAGTGTGAACAAGCTCTTAAACACAATCTTTTCTGAGGCTTCAACTACTTAATGTCTAAGTGGCCATACACTGCTTGAATGGCAACCAAGTCCTGCCAAAATTTGAGCAGTGTGTGGCCCCCTAAGGACCCCATTTGGCAAAAGTGCATGGTCAACTGTATACAGAAAATACTAGTTGCCTGGCTCTCATGCCAAGCCTGTGGCTTCAATACTTGGGGTTATTGATTTAGAACACGTATGCAGATCAGGATCTGGATTTCCTGATCAGTGGCTGAGAAAATACTGAAGCATACCCATGTGGATAAGACCACTTCAAGATAAGAAATACCGTGGTATCCACTCTCCACCCTCGCTAAATAGACAGTAAAGGAGCAGCAGCATGCTGATAAGGTCATCCCTCTGCACACTTCCTATCAGCATGTTTATTGTCAGGACATTTGTTCATGGAGCACAATGCTTCCATTACCAGTACGCACCAGGTTTTTAGGCCTGCGACTTTCATCCACCATGTCCAGTAGAGGAAAAGCCCTCCTTATATCTTCTATTGTGACCGTGTTCTGGAAGCCCAGGCTGTATAGCGTCAAGGTTGCATATAGGTTACAAGGGATAAAAAAAGCTTTTCACTGAACTACTGCACAAGGAAAATAATGAGCAGAATACGTAAAACCTTACAGAGACCAGGAGCCAGTAAATTCTTCCAAAACCTTCCAGGCGCCAACAGTAATATTAGAAAAAAGTTTATACTCATACAATAAAAGTCAAAAAATACTGAATATGGTGTTTGGTGGTTCATAAGAGGAAGAATGTTCTGGCAAGTAGGTGGAAGCCAAAAATGCCCTGACGTGTCAGTGGGAAGGAAAAATATAGGGGACTTTGAGGTGTGCTAGGGGCTCTGGATGGGGCTGGGTGTCACTGTGGGAGGATGGAGGTTCTGGTGGGAGGTTGGGGACTCTGCAACAGACTTGGTGACCCTATGGGGTATGAGTGTTCTGCAGGGGACTGGAGGCAACTGTGGGGGGTTTGCAGGGGCACTGTTGGAGACTGGAAGGGCCCTGTCCGACATATATATAGGTTGGGGGCTGAAAGCCCTGCAGCAGACTGGGGGGGTTGGAGGTCACTGTGGAAAG